AGTGAATGTTGTTTCCATCGAAGTGAACGTCACATCCTCTGATGGCTATAATCATAAACGAGGACATGGCCATAGGCGAAGACAGTGGAACGGGAACGGCAATAATCATGGTGTCTAGTTTCACAACCAGGTTCCAAGGCATAATTCAAGTCCGAGCTTCAAAAATGAAAACCGCCACAAAGGCAAAAGCTTACATGAACAATGCTCCCAGAAACTCTGAAGAAGCCTACCATAGGTGTGGTGGCAATGGGCACTGACCGCGTACTTGTCGTACGTTAAAACATCTGGTGGATCTGTATCAAGCCTCCCTCAAGGAGAAGGGTGTCAAGACCAATTTTCTTGACTAGACTAAACCAATGGATATATCTGATCGAGTGTGTGACTTATCAGAGCAGTTGAACACAACCCACCTAGATGTCTCAAACTTCATTGTGGAAAGGGGGAATGAAGTGTACCAGTCCGATTAAATCATTTATGTTTAATGTGCTGAATTTGTAGTTTAAAACTAGCATTTCAGATTCAATAAAAGTGGCATTTAAATTTCCTGTTATAAATTGCTTTTAACCATGATCCCCTTACTCAGAAAGCATGGATAAGAACCATGGTCATTATTCAAATAAGAGCAATGGCAGAGATATTTGTCTTGCAGACAGTGCAACCACGCATACAATACTTTGAGATCGAAAGTATTTCTCAAGATTGATACTTACAAAAGTAAGGGTAATAACAATATCAGGCCAATCAGATATGATTAAAGGCTCAGGGAAAGCTCAGATTATGTTACCAAATGGAACAATATTGTCCATACAGAATGCATTGTACGTTACTCGATCTACTCGAAATTTGTTGAGTTTCAAAGACATACGTTTAAATGGTTACCACATTGAAACGAAAAGTGCAGAAAATGTGGAGTATCTATACATTACCTCCAATGATACCCAAAAGTGTATATTGGAGACGTTGCATGGTTTGACAAGTGGATTGTATTATACATACATAAAGACATTTGAATCACATACTGTTATGAACTAGAAGTTCATTGATTGAAAAGTTTACATAATTTGACATGACCGTCTGGATAACCCAGGATCTACCATGATGTGTAGGATCATTACTAACTATATAGACATCCATTATTGAGCAGACAAATTGCTATCTCAAATGGTAACCCTTGTAAGGCTTGTTCTCAAGGGAAGTTGGTAATTAAACCATTACAGCTAAATGTTGATTTTGAATCCCCATCATTTCTACAAAGAATTCAAGGGGATATTTGTGGCCCTATTCAACCATCATGTGGACCATTTCGATATTTTATGGTTTTGGTTAATGCATCTACCCGATGGTCACATGTTTGTCTCTTGTCTACTTGGAATGTAGCTTTTGCAAGACTTCTTGCTCAGATAATTAAGTTGCGAGCACAGTTCCCATATTACCCCATTAAGTCAATCCGACTTTATAACGCTGGTGAATTTACGTCTCAAACTTTTGATGATTACTACATGACATTGGGCATTGATGTTGAACACCCTGTTCCTCATGTCCATACTCAAAATGGTTTAGCAGAAGCATTGATCAAATAGCTTTAGTTAATAGCTCGCACTGTGCTTATGAAAACAAAATTGCTAGTTTCTGTATGGGGACATGCCATCTTACATGCTGCATCATTGGTTCGATTAAGACCTATAGCCAACCACCAATACTCATCAGTACAACTCATGTTTGGGCATCAGCCAAACATTTCACATTTATGAGTTTTTGGTTGTGCTGTTTATACAAATGGGTATTCATAAGAAAGCGAAATGAGAAAAAACGATATTGCAAGATATAAAGCACGACTCGTTGCACAAGGTTTTTCGCAAAGACCTAGAATTGATTATGAGGAGACATACTCTCCTGTAATGGGCGCAATTACGTTCCATTATTTAATAAGTTTAGTGGTTTCAAAAAAACTTGACATGCGACTTATGAATGTCATCACCGCGTATCTATATAGAGAATTAGATACTGACATATATATAAAAGTCCCAGAAGGACTTAAGTTGCCTGAAATAACTAACAAACCACGAGGTATGCTCTCAATCAAATTAAGGCGATCATTGTATGGGCTAAAACAATCTGGACGAATGTGGTTTAATCGTCTCGGTGAGTATTTCATCAAAGAAGGGTATACCAACAATGTCATTTGCCCTTGTGTGTTCATTAAGAAATCCAACTCTGGATTTGCTATAGTGGCAGTATATGTCGATGATATGAACCTAGTTGAAACCCTTGAAGAACTCAATAAAACTGTTGAATATCTGAAAAGCGAATTTGAAATGAAAGATCTTGGAAAAACAAAATATTGTCTCGGCTTGCAAATTGAGCATTATGCTAGTGGAATTTTGGTCCACCAATCAGCTTACATTGAAAAAATCCATAAGCGATTTGGCATGAATAGGGCTTATCCACTCAGTACGCTAATTGTCATGCGTTCTCTGGACATTAAGAAAGATCAATTCCTTCCAAAAGAAGATGATGAAATGGTCCTTGGTTCAGAAGTACCATATCTGAGTGCAATTGGTGCTTTATTGTATTTAGCACAATGTACTAGACCAGATATAACTTTTTCAGTTAACTAACAAGCAAGATATAGCTCTGCTGCAACAATTCATCATTGGAAGGGAGTCAAAGATGTATTGCGATATCTTCGTGGGACAACAGACATGAGTCTCTTCTTCTCAAAGAAATCCATAAATGACCAAGTCCTTGTTGGATATGCAGATGCTAGTTTTCTCTCTGATCCACATAAAGCTCGCTCACAAACTAGATATGTGTTCAAGAATGGAGATACATCAATCTCATAGTGCTCAACAAAGCAAACATTAGTTGCTACAACTTCAAATCCCTCAGAAATACTTGCTTTACATGACGCAAGTCGTGAATGTTCTTGGTTAAAATCAATGATCCATCATATTCGGAATTCATGCGGTCTACCTTCGAAGACAGACAATGCAACTATCATCCATGAAGATAATGCAGCATGTGTTACCCAAATGAAGGAAGGATTCATCAAGGGCGATAAGACTAAACACATATTTCCAAAGTTTTTCAGTGCACATGAGCTTCAGAAGGCTAAAGTAATTGAAGTCAGACAAATCCGTTCCAATGAAAATCTGGCAGACCTGTTCACCAAATCTCTACCAAAATGCACGTTTAAGAAGTTAGTGCAAAGTATCGAATTACGTCGACTTACCAATTAGTTAAATTTGGAAAATGCGGAATCAAAAGGAGATACATATCAGGGGGAGCATCCATGATAAATGCATGTTGTATTCTTTTTCCTTTGATTAGGATTTTTCCCATTGGGTTTTTTCTATCAAAGTTTTAACGAGGCATATTTAACACTATATCAACAATCCATGTAAAGTTGTACTCTTTTTCCTTCGCTATGGTTTTTTCCCACTGGGTTTTTCCGAGCAAGGTTTTAACGAGGCAACTAATATTGATATGTGGGCATCCAAGGGGGAGTGTATAAATACTGGTGGGTTAATGAATGCCCACAGTAATATTGAAAACATTGGTAGCTTTTTCAATGCCCATACAAAGTGATATTGACTTGGGAGATGAAGGAGGATCGCATTTTCAAAAGATGTGTGCTGTAAATTTCAATGTATAGTTAATACGTTTGTTTGGGGTTGCTCTATAAATAGAGCGCTCTGTATGCTTTCATGAGAAAAAAAAAGAAGAGAATAAGGAAAGATCAATAACATCATCCCTCCCTCTTTTATTTGTCATCCCCTTATGTTATAATTACAGTGTAATATTTTACACCTGCTCCTGTCACTAGTAAAGGTTATCTCTCTAACTTTTACCTATTTATAATATACTAATTATATAAGTGCAAATACAATTGAATGTAAAGGTAGCTACAACACTAACCATAGTACTAAATAATCAACAATTATTTAAATCTTAAAAAAAACTAACAATTATTCAATGGTAGACTTTTTGAATACTTCAATGCCAGACTTTTTGAATAATTGTTGACCTTTTATGCACATGATTTCCTAACCCACAAGAACTGTAGGGATAATATTTAAATGAGAAAAAATTGGGTTCATTAACTGAAAATTATATGGTTAGTGTTGAAAAAATAGCTTCAAAAAATCTAGCATTGAAGTATTTAAAGATGCTACTTCGTACATTCTCTGCTACAAAATCATCAATTAAACTTTTGTAATCAATTGTGTCTAAAAAAAACACTTTCAATCAATATCAAAGGAAACTCATTTAACCTTTATTGCAACATGGTTGATTGCAAGTATGATTTTAATAACTTAAACTTTAAGAAATTTATTTTCATAGATACAACAGTAACAGGTACAATCAGCAAAATTCAGTATGCAATGCTTGCAGTCAGAAAACAACACATCCTCTTCCAGTCGTTCAATACATCAATGGATGTCTTCATTTATTTTGTCAAACGCTCTCATAAAAGCTTGAACTCTATAATAATTCATCCCCATCAACATAAAAAAACTCACCTTTCTTGGAAAAGTTTCGAGACAATCTCAACAATCTTTCAATTTATCATTATCCATCGAATTCAACATTTAAGATTGAACAAAAACCCAAATATATCGTCATATGTTTGATATTCTCCAAACCTTCTTTCTAGTGAACCAATAGCTTGATCTATTCTATACAAGAAGTGATGAACCCTAAAAGATTTCACTAATTGTTGAGCTGATTAGGATGAGTCATCATCATTCTCAACAAAGTGTCTTTTTCTACAACTTCAAGCTCTTCCTGAAACACGGAATCAATTTTTATAAATTTTGATATAATAATCTTATTATATACGGCCCTTAAATTTTGGAGCCCTATGCAATCAAACGCTTCGCTCCCCCAAAACCGCCTATGTAATATAGTTATGTTAACAGACCCTTCTACCAATTGAATTGTTTTTCTTGACCTCTTAACCCAAAATCTGTTACATATTGGTTCATTCATATACGCAGAGATGAAACAATTGAGTACACAAAGCATGTCATAAATTTGGGAGACCAACTTTTTGGATTATTATCGGAGGCTCTTGGACTCAAACTTGACCACTTAAAGGAATTGGGATGTGCTAAAAATTATACCTGTGTGTGCCACTACTATCCAGCATGCCCAGAACCAGAACTAACAATGGGAAGCAGCAAGCACTCAGATCCTTCTTTCCTCACTATTCTTCTTCAAGACCAAATTGGCGGCCTTCAAATCCTTCGTGACAATCAGTGGGTTAATGTGAACCCTATTTCAGGTGGCTTGGTAGTAAATATAGGCGACTTTCTTCAGGTTTGTAACCAAACACATTATTTTTGTTGCTATTGTAACGCTGTATGTACGTATGTCGCCATCTTTTTGAAGTTTCCTGAAAATTTGTCTAGGTTATGTCAAATGACAAGTTTCAGAGTGTTCAACATAGAGTGCTTGCCAACCGCATTGGCCCAAGAGTTTCCATAGCATGCTTCTTCATCGGACAGACTCGCACCGATCAACCGGACAAGTCCTACGGTCCGATCAAAGAGCTCATATCAAAAGATAACCCACCTCTGTATAGAGATTTCTTGATAAGTGAATACCATGGTAAGTTCGTTTCTCAAGGGCTTGATGAGAAGCCTGCTTTTCACCATTTCAAGCTTTGAAGATAACAACTTCCACACGGTGAAACTTTGAATAGCGCGTGGGCAAATAAAGTTGTTTAATTACACATCGTAGAGTTGCATGGACGCTCACTGGTTTCCTTGTTATGTAATAGTAAGATTTATAAGGGTCATAACATTCATATAAGACCTATTTGATAATCATTTCATTTTTAGTTTGTATTTTCTTTTGCTTGTGATGTCGGGAAATTATATGGGAGAAATAATAGATAAAAGAAGGGGGGGTTAGAGAGGGAGGTGAAGAAAAAACAAGAAAGAAAAAATAAAAATAAATTCTTGAAAATGAAAACTTAAAATTGGTTTATGTTCTCATCCTCCAGTATCCTCTCTAGGGCCTAATCCTCTCTTATATTTTCCTCATTTCAGTTGAATATTAGAGTGTGCAACGAATAAGATTACAAAATAATAAGAATATTATTAAATAAACGAGAATGCCGAAACGGCTACAAAACCCTAAGAAACTACATTGTGACTGACTTATTCCTCAAACTAAATTACAAGCTCTATTTATAGAGCAATAAACCTAAGAAACCCTAATACGTAAATGCCAAAAATACCCTACTACAAAATCAAAACAAATTTCTAATTAATTTCCTAAATAAACCTAATAAATTCCAACACCCCCCGTCAAACTCATAGTGGTACACGACATGGGTTTGCAAAAGTGATGTGGATGCAAGCTCCATTATACTATCTTTCGATGCCAATTCCAATACGAAATTCCATCGGTGCAAGTGCAAGATTTCAATGCCAATGCCAGTGCAAGATTTCCATGCCAGTGCCAGTGCAAGATTCCAATGCCAGTGCCGATGCCAATGCCAATACCAATGCCGATGCCAATGTCAATACCAATGCCAATGCAAATTCCAATACCATACCCAATGCAAGAATACGCGGGCAACAAAACCTCAAAACAACCAATTTTTTTTTTCCTTCCATTCCCCCCCCCCTTTTTTTTCCTTCCTTCTTGCTTCCTTTTTTTTTTGCTTCTGTGCGAACCAACCAGCAACATCAGCCTTTCTTTTCTTTTTTTTTTTTCCGCAGGTGGACGGTTGTGGACGGATCCAGATGCAAGGTGGGGCTGGGGAATGCAGAAATCTTAGTGCGATGGAGCATTTTCAAATTTGGGTCTGAGACAAATTCACCAAATTCTTTTTTTTTTCAAAAACAGAATTTTTTTTTCCTTTCTTGAAGACTACCAAGGACAAACTGAAAACCAAACCAGAAAACGTAAAAAATCTACGGATGGAAACTGGAAAGAAATAAAAATGATACGAACAAACAGAAGCAGATTAGATCCCGAAGAATCACACCTGCTCTGATACCAAGTTGAATATCAAAGTGCGCAACGAACAAGATTACAAAATAATAAGAATATTATTAAATAGACGAGAATGCCGAAACGGCTACAAAACCCTAAGAGGCTACATTGTGACTGACTTATGCCTCAAACTAAATTACAAGCTCTATTTATAGAGCAATAAACCTAAGAATCCCTAATGCGTAAATGCCAAAAATACCCTACTACAAAATCAAAACAAATCTCTAATTAATTTCCTAAATAAACCTAATAAATTCCAACAATTTCTCCCATGTTTATATCCTCTATCTTAACACCAAAATAAAAACTAAAACTAAAATTGAAATTGTTTAGGAGGAAATGAAAATCACTTGGTTTTTATTTTATGTGCTTAAGATGTAGAACGAAGCTTGATAAAACTTTGCAGTTAGAGTTGGGAATCATACCTACAATTGAACGATGAGGCAGTTAGATTCATGGCACCGGGGATGTCCTCAATGGCCAAGGCGTACCCGTGGCTCGAGAAGCTCTACCAACTAATGTTTCAGATGATTTTTTTATCATATGTTTGTATGTGGGATTGATTGATCTTTTTATTTTAATAAAATTAAAGGATGAACGCGAGCACTATCAACCCATCGTTTTTAATTAAAAAAAAATATAAGTGTATAGTGGCAAAGCCAGAAATTTATCACAACATAAACGTTGTAAAGAAGCTCTATATATTAGTTATGTTTGTACCATACTTGATCAATCCCAAAACTACTGAGCACGGGTCAATGTTATACCGTCAAGGACCCAGAAGAGTTTCCCTCCAACCAGGAGGCCAATCATAGCGCGACACGTGTCAACATCAGAAGCCAATCACAACACGACACGTGTCAATGTCAAAACAAAGCTAGAAACTCTCTTCTATAAAAGGAGATCATTCTCTCACAATATTTCCTAATGTCATTGTGAACATGAAAATTTCCTAAAACGAAAGAGACAAGAACAACGTGCACAAAGTAATATTTGTGTTTTGATGATTTAGGGTTACGATCTCTTTTAACTCGATCCTCTGATTCGATCTTCGTAAGGTGTGTATTTGTAGATGTGATTGATCCAAAGGGTCGTTGGGCTTGATCTAAGGATGAACGTTCTTCAAGGGCGTGGGCTTGATCTTGAAGGTGGATTTGAGCGGATCTTCAAGGAGCCATTGGGGCTTGATCTTGAGGATGAGCGTTTCTTCAAGAGCTGTTGAGGCTTGATCTTGAATAACGATGATGAACGGATCTTCAAGGGCTTTTGGGCTTAATCTTGAAGAATAGTGATGAACGGATCTTCAAGGGCTTTTGGGCTTGATCTTAAAGATGGATGATTGTTGATCCAAGGGCCGTCGGGGCTTGATCTTGGGATGAACAGTTGTGTGGATTTATTAATGTTGCTGATCCAAAAGGGCCATTAGGGCTTGATCTTAGGATGAACAGTTGTGTAGATTTATTGATGTTGTTGATCCAAAGGGCCGTTGGGGCTTGATCTTACGATGAACAGATGATAAACGATGAATACTTTCTTCAAGGGCCGTCGGGGCTCGATCTTGAATTGGTGGAAGTTCTTCAAGGGCCTTTGGGGCTTGATCTTGAAGGAACAGTTGTGTGGATTTGGTGATGTTGTTGATCCAAAAGGGTCGTCGGGACTTGATCTTAGGATGAACAGTTGTGTGGATTTGTTGATGTTGTTGATCCAAATGGCCGTTGGGGCTTGATCTTAGGATGAACCGATGTGTGGATTTGTTGAACACTTTCTTCAAGGGCCGTTGGGGCTTGATCTTGAAGGAGGATTTGACGAAGAACGAAGAGGGCTTTCTTGATCCTTCAGGATTCTTAGGAATTTGGGAGGTTGGATGCTTGAAAGCTTTAGAGTTTCAAAGCTTCAAGGATTTTGGATGTGTGGGGAGTATTCTCTTCCATTTTGGGTGTAGAGAAATGTATTTGTGAATTGGTTGATGATACCTTGGTGTAGAAGCCTATTTATAGGCTTTGAGAATGAATCACCACCACAAATTTTTTTTTTTTTTCAAGCACCATTGCCTAATTTCCCACTTAATACAATTTTAAACTTGAAGTGGTAATTTTATGGCCTAATTTTCCACTTAATAACATTTTAAACTTGATATGTGCATGCTTTGTCATTGCCCAAAATGAGAAGAAAACCTTGTTTTGATCTTCAATAGATTGAAATGTGCTTGCCTTGTCATTGCCCAAAATGAGAAGAAAAACTTGTGTAATCCTCCAAGGGTATTTCTTCTTATTTTGTTGAGTCACACACCATGTGTACAATTTGTATGACACGTGGCATATGCCATGTATGCCCTGACACGTCAAAATTTTAATGCGTTGGTGAACATTTATTTCACCACAATTTCGATGTCTACAGTCATTTGTACTAAATCATTCACTAGTACTCACTAAAAGAGAGCTTGAACCTATGTACTTGTGTAAACCTTTCACAATTAATGAGAACTCATCTACTCCGTGGACGTAGCCAATCTGGGTGAACCACGTACACCTTGTGTTTGCTTCCCTGTCCCTATCTATTTACATACTTATCCACACTAGTGACCGGAGCAATCTAGCGAAGGTCACAAACTTAACATTTTCTGTTGTACCAAAGTCCCTACTGATTTTGTGCATCAATATTTGGCACCGTTTGTGGGAACGACATTGATTCCCACTCTCTTCAGCTTTGTTAAGCTGATTTCCACCATTCGTACACTCTCTTTTGACCAGGCATCCCTTTCCAATATGGGGAGTGAAGGAAGCCACAACACACAGAATGACACCCCTCTTGCACCTGGTGCGAAGCAACAAAAGAATGAACAAAAGAAGTTTGCTCTTCAGGCTAAAGTCGATGAGGTGGAGGCTCAGAACAACAAGATGGCGATGAAGAATGAGATCCTCCAAGAGCAGTATGAAAAGATCTTTGAGATGCTCCACGAAGCTAGATATACTAAAACACACAAGTTCATCACCCATATGAAAGTCAACCATCAACTGGGTGCCCCCAACGCGGAGGGTCATTTGCCCTCGACATGGGTATTCCTATTGCGGAACGAGCTACTCATCGAAATGGCGACCAACATGAGACTTCTCTTAACCCAGCTGCTTCGACCTGAAGCAGGAGGAATGAAGGAAGACCACCTTATAGAAGGAGTGGAAGGATCGAAAGCCGTCTTTCGCGACTATCGAGACTTCCTAAAGCAACGTCGAGACAATCCCATCCATGTAAGCTCGAAGATCAATGACCCAAGGGTCTCTGAAAGACTCGGTCCCCTCCCATGTCCCAGGCCGGCTACCAATTTAGGGAAGGGGTAACAAGTCTTAGAGAAACACGAAGGTATAGAGGATTCAGAGATGTTCGGACAGACATACCTTGGAAGTCAGTACGGTGAGTCTAGGGAAAAATCACATGCTCTTGATCAAACCTTCCTACTTCCAAGAGGAGATGTCGATTTACGAAAGAAAGCTCTAGTGGTACATGACTCCACTCAAAACCCTCTTGTCCTACAACTCCTTAAGTAAACAAGTTGAAGGCCGAACGACAAGCTGAGATACCTGATTGGAACCAACCTAGGCTTGGCAATAAGGAGGATCCTTGACACCCCCTCTAAGCAAAGACAAAGCAAAAGCTTGGCTTGCAACTCTATACTGGAAAGGAGGACCCGATTGAACACCTTAACCTCTTTGAGTCCACCATGCATACCGGATGCACACCGACGAAGAGCGATGTCTTCTCTTCCCCTCCACCCTATCTGGATGAGCTCTAAATTGGTATTGTCGCCTTCCACCTGAGACGGTAGACTCATTTGAGGAATTGAGGAAACT